GAATAGAGAGGTTCGGCCTCGCGCATCGAACGGGGTGTAGCAGTCTTATATAATGTGCAAAAATTTCATGCAGATGATCCGTATTAACCGCCATCCAGTCCAGGCTCCAGTCGCTCTCCTGATACCACTGCAGATTCGAAACAAAGCTATACAAGCGATATGAAAATGCCAATTATGCCATTTCTCTTAAGTTTTGTACAGAAAAGGCGCTTAAGGCACCTAGCTTCCTTCCTTCTTGCAGCCCCGTTGTAGCCTTGATCGTATCGACCGAGTGCTGGAAATCTACATAAATGGACTTTGTCGTTAATATTCTCGCAGACACTCATAAAATGTTGGTATTCATGTGTTCTTCGACCAATTTAGCAAGATGGTTAATCTTGTTGCTGTACCTAAATCAATCAACGCATCAATTTGTGCTCGTGTATTTATCTGCACGTTCTTTTGCCTTCATGAATTGACTTGTGAACTCGTATCCGATCGGAACCCGTTTCGATTCATAATTCTGGCTTTTCGTACTAAAACACTCAGCACGCACTCAAAAATGTCCACGTCTGACGGTCCTGAAACAGATAGTCCGACATGACGCGCAACTCGTGTCCTCTAGGAGATCCTTTGACGATGCGTACATTCTTTTACTAATTGAAGCAAATTCTTGCCAATGGTGGAGTTCGCCATCAGCAATTTAGTCCATGCACATCAACGACGCACACACCTTTCTTATGTATTAAGTTATCCGCGCCTTCCCATCTTATGGAGTGTGAATCTCATTAATGGAAAAGTGGAACTGATAAGAGTGATTTCCTATCCGGCTCTGACTCGTCGCGAGCTGATTATGAGGCCACCACGTTCGATGCCGACGTCGGTCACATCGACCTTGATTAAAAAGAGGATAGTAGGAGCGAGGATGCTGTCAGTAACCACGATACTGATCAAATCGGCACCACGCATAGTGCTTTTAAAGCCACACTCACAGAGGCGGACTAGTGATCTTGCTTTAGTACGCAAAAGATCACTGCGTCTAAAAACAGCGAATCAGCAAATGAATTCATTCTGGATCTCGAAAAGGAGGTCTGTTTCTTACAATAATATATCGCAGAGGCGGAAGATCGACAAAAACGAAACGCTGATAAAAATGGAAGGGCAAATGCTCTTCTATCCAATAAAGAGAAATCATTCTTACTGCCTACGGTAAACCCACCTTGACACATAGTGACTAACGTGGATTAGTAACAATTTACCACACACTTGGATCGGTCCATTTCGCGTGCTACATTGCCTAGGCAACGCATATACGACTAAGCTGCCACGTAAAATGCACACTCATCCTACGTCTCACGTCGGTCGTATTGGACTGTTTTATCAGTACAGGGCTTCCTCCGGTGAAGAAAGTTCTTGTGCTCAAGCATTTACGGAAGACACTTCAGATCACTGTGCTGGCTCCAGCCCGCGAGGTTCGAATATCTCCTCGCAAAGCCGGGAGAGAACGCTGTTCTCACTCATTCGCCATCTTGGAAATGCATACTATGCCATTTCCTTCTCCCAATCTGAGCTCAGAAGTTCCACATTGCCGATCAAATGCAGATGCCCGCCTCTCTCGTGTTCAAGGCCCTCGTGAAACTCACACGTATGTGGTCGATGTAACTAACATCATAACATTGGCACTGCGAATCGATCGGAGAATGTGTCTCCTTCTCCACCTCATCATTAGTCGATACGCGTGGTGATTAAATTTTCCTCCCGGAATGACTGTTGAACCACCACGACGTGAACGTACGTCGGACGAGGTAGCTCGTCCGGTGACGTGACTATAAGCTCTCGGGCGATTAGTTGGGAGCCATTTTAGCAACTGACGGTGGACGTGTTGGGATTTTTCAAGTTTTATTTGTCAAGGCACATCTGATGCCGAAGAAGGAGCACCGCAGAACAAAATGCCAGCGCGTTTGTAGAGGGATTATGAATTAGCTATTCCCACGAACATATCTGAGGAGACACGAACCCTCCACCGGGCTTCGGTCATTAGATAAACTTCTTTTGGAGATAGATGAAAGTTGTTTATGCAATATTAGCACGCATCATCCCAGGAGAGGTATGATAACCTGACCTCTCTCGATAACTGATGCAGTTTGTAACTTGCTCTGGTAAAAGTCCTCTTCCCAAACTGATTGCGAGACAGGGTCGACCTGTCAATCCATTCTTTGCGGCTGATATCCCCAACTTTATATATGCACGCGCTCCACGAAAAGATTAGCAAGGCACCATCATGTTAATGGTTCCCGTTGAGCCATTAATGCATGAAGAATACACCAATGATGAAGTCATTCTCAGTGCAAAGTCACTCGCACTAGAGTCAAGGCCATGAAGCCTTGATGAGTCGAAATTCGTATTGTAAAACAATCGCTTACCGTGATGCAAAAACAATCAAACACTCACTGAGGAGGCAGTCACGCCTTCTTCTCCAGAGCAACGCGCAGTACGTCGCGATCTATGGCCACCTGCGGGGTTTAAATATTAGTGTTGACACCACGTACAGCATGGTCGTCTTAATTGTGACGCATTAATGCGTCACCGTCATTTTAGCTCAAATGGCTCTTGAATTCGCCTTGATTATTTTCAAGCGAGCGACTCCGCCTTGAAGACGTAGCGCCCGAATTGACGGACAATCCGAAGATGTAAGGATGCTCAGCGAGGCTCAATGCGCTTGGCGAGTCCTACTTGCTCGGCTCTGTCGTCTCCGCATTTGGCTCTGTATGTGCGACAGTCATTGTCAAGTCGGTGTCGCCATCCGACCCTCCAAAGTACATGGGATCGGGATTGTAATCTTCAATTCCGCGCGGCGCATTACCGCGTGAGTCTACACCAGGAAGCGACAAGCAGGTTGTCATCTTCTGCGCTCAAGGTCTTTGCCTCATCCTCCGGGGTGGAATTTTAACATCATAACTGCACTCCCAGCAGATTTGGCTGCACTCCGCATGGCCTTGTAAAATATGCGGGAGATCATAGGAATGGTTGAATATAGCCAACAAGTGCTACATTTTCCTAGATTCACTCTTGGATTCACTCATTCATCTGTCAGTCACTAATGTGACTGATGGTTAAAAAGGGGGGGTAATGTAACGAGGTGCCTCCGTTACATGATAGTTTACGTTAGGTAAATATCAAGTGTGAACATTCTGTTAGAATAAAAATTGTGTTCTCACGAGACTGGCTCAACAGACAATATTGTGTTGCAGAAGTAAATTACTGCTCATCGGTTAATTAATATGAACATTATTGACCAATAAAGCCGAGCCACGACAGAAGAACGCAATGAGTGGTGAGCAGATAGTTACAATACATGTTTGTATAAAGATTTGGTTAAATGAAGACCAAATGGGATTCACCAACAGGAGATAACTATTCTGAATACACTTCTACTCATACCTCTTTTGTCGTGTCGAAACCTTTCTCTGCACGACGCGTGTGCTCGAAGTATCGTGGCACCATCTCACTCTGTGCTCAGTGTAATTAGCTTCAGCCGTCACAGTACAAGCTACCGGTGCCCTTTACACCTATGACCGACAAGTTGGTGGTGTAATTGGCGAGCTGAAATGGTAAAAGTGTTAGAGAATCTCAACGTTTTGTTGATGAAAGATTAGCCATGACACTTTACGTCCGCGACGCTGTAGCAAGCGTACAATGAAAGGAAAACAAAGTGCAGGCTAATTGGTAGTAAATATAATGAACGTTTAAGCAGATGAGACAAGGCACTATCAAGCTCCAGCACTCGACCCAGACATGCATTTTTAGTACTGCCTGGTGATATTACTTAGCTATTGCCACAAATTCTCGTGTCTTTTACCGTGAATAAGAAAGTCTGAGAGCTAAATTATAGACTTCCTCTTCTATCACACCTATGTACGCACCCAATGTTTCAAGTGAGCCGTCGAAAGTAATATCTTGATCCACAATAAATCGCTCATCTTCATGTTCTAATATTGAACGATCATGCCGATGGCCATGCGACCAACAAAGATATCTTGGAAGGGTGGCTCCGATAAACGATCCCGGTCGACTAGTAATCTCCGCTCGGAAACGGACTTGGTGATCGAGGTGGACGCGCGTCAGCGCATGTCTCTTATCAACATGATCTCAGAAGGCCGAACCCGAGCTTCAACTAGTCGTACCCTCGACATTCTTTCATACGGACGTCGCACAATGTTATGGTCAGCTGCGCATCTTGACTCTTAAGGGACACGTCCACATATCGTGTGTTTGCGTCTGGGTAGTTGTCGTATAGGCCGACAGTAGTCTGCGAGAAGGTCAGAGTAGTCAGCGCTCGTCGCTGTTGGACGTTGAGGAACCAAATATGCTGTCAGCACATGCAGATGCAAAAAAAATTCAGTTACTCGATTTAATGTGACCATTACGACATGCATCAATATTCCCCGTCTGTAACGGGGCACCCTGAAGCTTGTACTGGTGACAGTACAAGCTACTTATTCTGATGACAGAATAAGGCGGTGCCTCGGAACTTCACGTACACTCGTACGTGCAGAGGAAGACGGTAAGAAGAAGCGAGTACTTGGTTAAAGTAAAAAGTAGAACTGTATTTAGTTAATGTCTGCAATAAATCACTATTTATCTTCATCTAACTATGTCTAAATACAAATGTGCATATCAACTATCTGCTCACCACTCATTGCGTGCGTCTGTCGTGGCGCGTCTTCGTTAATTGATGTAATGGCCTATATCAACCAATTAGGAACTACTCGTAAGTGCTACAGAATATTTGTCCTTATGACAATATTCTGAGAATATAACTCTAATAGTTATATTCTATTAACAATTTCTTATAAATTGTTATGTAACGATTCACTCCGTTGCATCACCCCCCCCTCATCCATCAGTCACTTTAGTGACTGATTGACTAATTGGATCTCGTCCTAAATCATTTGGGACGGGGTTTGCACTTGTTGGTCCGAGTCCACTTTCCAACATATCATCGCATGGTAAACAAGCCCATGCGGTGCGCGAGCAAGGCCGCCGAGAGCGCGTCTGCACGTCTCTGTGCGGACGCCGAAGCAGAAACAACAGCAACTGATGTCTCATCGGTTGCTGAAGCGACCCAGCCTGTGTCACTTGGTGATGCAGGCGCTGGTCATGAAGACACTCGTGTCTTCACAGAGTACGAGCTCGGTGTCTCGTACTCTCCTGATACGGATGACGGATCCGTATCGACGGCGATTGAATCTAAGCCGCCTGCCAAGTGTGGCATGGACGATGCTTTGCGTCGCAGCATCTTTGGTTCATCTGATGAATCAGATGAACCATCGCCGAAGCGAAGGCACTCGAGGTCGCGAGACTCGGGCGCTAACAGTGGTGTCGGTTCTCCTATTGACACCACTTCGCAGCGAGGTGCCAGTCCTTATGTCGGTACATCGCAGGAAGAGCGGGACCGCAGTGTGTTGCGTCTCGCTCCCGAGAAGAAGGCATGGATACCTCCCAAATCCGTCATGAATCACTTGTCGGCGACGACGAGTGATCGTTATCGAACACGATTGTTCGATTCGTCAAGGATCTATCACCTTGACCCCAGCGCGAAAAAATATCGCGCTGAGAATGAATTCTTCATCGATGCTTTCTTTAGACATCGATGGTACAGTGGGAATCACAAGCGTGATGGTCCCTCACTACTTCAAGCGTGGAACGCCTACATCCATAACCTCGAGGATGTAAGTCGTGACGTTTGGAACGACAAACTTATCAAAGCTCGTGATAAGTTTGAAAAGCGAACCCCGACAGGTGCACGCTACAAGCTGCATCGTCTGTCGAGGGAGAAAGGATTATCCTGCCTCTCATGGGAAGACCCGTGCCCATGTTGTGTGAACAACTCTGCACGAGCACCTAAGGAGGCTTACCCCCTTACTAGCCCGTGGTGGCGCTTATGTATCTCTACTGAGATGTACGAAGGGATTTACAACCTGAAATCCTTTACGACCGTGCCGGGAAGACTTTCTCCGGCGGTCCTTCTGCGGCACAGGATGTGCCGCGTCGTACTGCTCAACCAGACCCAGTACGTCGATCATCAGTTGGGAGCGGGGCTCCCAAGTATCCCAGGACGGGGGATAGCCGCGCCACCGGACGAGATAACTCGTCCGACGTCCGTTCACGTCGCGGAGGTTCAACAGCTGCTCAACTATATAGCGCTGGCCACCGCGAGAGTCCTCTAATGGAGGTGGAGGAGGAGGAAAGACGCTCTCCACACGATCATGTGGATCGGTGTGTTCCCGAGAGCTTCTTTGATCGCGTAACGCAAGGGTTACGCAGCGATCTCGAACATGAGCGGAATAGGCGTCTCCAGATGGTGGACACTGCCTCGAAGCATCGAGCTGAGTTTGCCTTTGCTCAGCTTGAGAACGAGAGATCTCTGACATCTCTTCGTGACGAGCTAAGGGTAGCTCGTGGGATGGCTGATCGGTCTCGGGATGAGATAGCTGCTCTTCAGACCCTTGTTGATGCCCACCATCGGGAGCACAAGGCTCTCTGCGAGATGCTTGAGCGCAAGGGCGTTCTTCATCGAAAGAAGCAGCGTACTGATGGTACGGCTTAAGCCGACCAACGTAAAACGTGGGTGCGTTCGCATCTTACGTGGTAACTCGATCGTGTATGCATTGCCTAGGCGGTGCAATACACGAAATGGGACAATGTACTTGGGTAGTAGTTTACTGCTACCCAAGTTAGTCACTACATGCTTTGGTAGATTAACCGTAGACAGTAGGACTAAGTCACCTTCATTAAATAAAATAGTGTTTGCCCTTCCATTCTTGTCAGCGTTTTGCTTTTGCTTGTCCACCGCTTCGGCGATGGAGTCTTGCACAAAATGGACTACCGTTTCACGAGCCAGTATGAACTCATCTGATGACTCGTTAGCTTCAGTGCGCTGTGAGCGCACTGCAGCAACATCAACCTTTTCTTCAGTGAGGGCTTCCGCACTATCACTGGCATCATCTTCTTCGATATCGATGTTATCGATATCGGCATCAAACGCAATGACTTCTTCGTCAGAGCGTGAAGAGCGTGAACCAAATCGGCTTTTGCTCGCGCGAGTCCCTCCCCCCCTTAAACCAGAGTTGCACTCTAGTAAGGTGGGTACACGCGGATGGCGCAAGCCATTCACGTAAAACGGTGTATGTGTCGTGGACGCATGCACCGAGTTGTTAATGGCAAACTCTACCATTGGCAAAAACTCACTTCAACTCTTGAAGGAGTGTTCGTATCCTCCAAGTATCTCTTCAAGGACACGATTGGCACGTTCCGTCCGACCATCTGACTCTGGATGATCAGATGTAGACATCTTCAAGCGCGTTCCGAGTGATTTGAACACGGAACGCCAGAAATCAGCTGTGAAGCGTGGATCTCTGTCCGATACGAGTTCACGGAGCAACCCATGAAGTCGGAAGATGGTGTAAATAAAGACGCAAGTATAGCCACTTGCCGTGATTGTCTCGAATACAGCCACAAGGTGTACCATTTTGCTGAATCTGTCAACAAATACGAGAATACCCGTATTCCCGCGTGCGTCTTTGGGTAAACCGAAGACAAAATCCATTGAGATGGTTCCCAGCACTCAGCCGGAACCGGTAGAGGCTGTAAAGATGCACGCAGTGAAGGACTTGACTTCACTCGTTGGCAGACTTCGCATGTGCGAACATACTTTCGCACAAACTGATACTGGCGGGGCCAGTAAAAGTCTCGACTCACCGTGAGAAATGTTTTCTCTCGGCTACGATGTCCTCCTATAGGAGCATCGTGATACTCGAACATGATCCGCAAACGCAGATCAGTATCTTCTGGAATGACAACACGTGGTGTGTCACCAGAAACGGCTGTATAATACAGTAAACCGTTACGAGTAGTGTATCGATATGATGCAGATCGATACGCAGACGACAATCGTTTCAACGATTCTCGAGATGGTTGGGAGAGATGTGTCAACAACTTCACAATCTCACCATCTTGGGCGTATGCCCGCCTCACATCATCATGCAACGTTGTAGATGGGACTGAGGACGTCATAACCGCAACAGTGACTGTCTCACCGTTGGGTTTTGCGACTGTTTTAAAGTCGGGACGACGTGAGAGTGCATCAGCAACGACATTAAGTCGCCCTGGTTTGTACTCGACCGTAAAGTTGTATTCTGCAAAGAATGACAACCACCGCGCCATTCGTTGTGAAAGGTGCGGGCTGTTCACTGCCGTGCGTAGTGACGCATGGTCAGTGTAAGCAATGAAGGGTCTATCTCCTAATAGATAGACTCTGAACCTCGCGAGTGCATACTTCATGGCAAGGAGTTACTTGTCATGCACCGGATAATTCCGCTCAGCTGGTTGCAGCTGACGCGACTGATAGCAGACGACGCGTTCAACGCCTTCAAGATCGTACTGCATTAATGCACAGCCGATTGCGAAATCGCTGGAATCACAGACCACATAAAATGGCCTGTCCTGATCGGCAATTGCTAGGACTGGGGATTGTATCAAGCTCTGCTTGATACCATCAAAGGAGCGCTGACATTCAGCGTTCCATAACCACCTCTCGTTCTTTTTTAAACAAACGAGAGAGGTGCACAGTCATCTCGGCGTAATTGCGTGAATACTTATGCAAATACGCCGCTAGCCCAAGGAATTTTCGAATACCTTTAACATCAACCGGCACAGGCCAGTCGACGATCGCCTTGATCTTTTCGGGATCAGGACGTACACCGTTCTTACCAACGATGCACCCAAGAAGTGGTATTTTGCTTGCTGCAAATACACACTTCTTGAGGTTTGCATGCAATTGATGCCTTCGCATGATTGTAAGAACCTGTCGGACGTGGTACCTGTGAACCTCAACGTCCGACTTTCCATCCATAGATCGACTATGGATGAATACGTCATCGAAATAACTCGGCGCGAATTCTCGTACTGGTCTCAACAGATGTGATACACATCTGTTGAACGTGGCAGGGGCATTACTAAGCCCTTGTGGCATTACTAGCCATTCCCAGAGCATGCCGCTAGGCGTGCTTCTGCGGTATAGGGTATATCCCGTTCACGCATAAGGATTTGATAGAAGCCATCCATCAAATCCATGGACGAAAAGATGGTACTCTTGGACATACCATCAATGATTACGTCCTTCCTCGGTATCGGCGTCTGAGCCGGTACCGTTGCAGCGTTCAATTTGTTGAACGCGTGCACTATCCGCCACCCTCCTGTTGATTTTAGCACACAGAAGGTCGGAGAGCTATGTGGGGAAGTTGATTCCATCATATGGCCCGCAGCTAAACGATCGGCAAAGAACTTGTCGATCGCAAGTACTTGTTCACGAGGCAGTGGCCACTGCTTCATGACACAGTACTTCGAGCCTGGTTTAAGCTCGACTTCGTGTCGAATACCTTTATCCTTCGGTAATTCGCACGGAACAGTTTCAGGGAATACATCCTTGAATTCAACTAAATCGTCATAGAGAGGATTTGTCTTGAGCGATTCCCACGATTGGGAGTCATATCGCTCAATTCGTGTCTTTTCATCCAGGGCACTCTCGTCCATGGATGAACTACTGAGAACTCTCTCGTTATCAGTGAACACTGTTGCTGACCTTATGTCGGCTACACGCTCGTCGTCAGCGACGAGTACGCAGATCTGCTTGACTTTGCCACTACGCAGATCACGCAAGAACCTTTTATGTTCGAGCGTTGGCAACTGAGTGATCTCCGAAGTCAACTTCGGAGGCGCAATCAGATCAAGTGTATAAGCGCCTACACTTGATCCGTTATTGACTAGGACATTAAATGTCTCTGTCATTTCTTGGGGACTTATTCCCGCGGGTTTCGGGGAACTTATTTCCGCCGTATTTGTAATATCGGGGCTTATTCCCTTAACTTCCTCTAGCTGGGGTTGCGCAACCACAGCGAGATCCTCTACGAAAGACTCTCCAGTCGATCTAGGATTATCATTTCGCTTAACCTGAGCGATCGATTGTTTCTCTTCTAGATGTTCCCCGCTAGGGATACATCTTTGTCCCGGTCCACTCGACTTATTCGAGTGGTGGACCTTCGGCGCAGCCTGTGTTTCCTCACAGCCGCCGGAACTTTGCTCCGAAGTGTAACCGTTTGGTACACTAAGGTTTTGTGCAGTCGTACTAACGACCGTACCACAAGTGAGGCCATCGCACTCACTCGTAGTACATCCACACGCTTGTGGACGCTCCAAAACGTTCATCAGATGGCCATCTGATGAACAAGCGGCAGACATCGTTACTGTTCGATGTTGCCAGTTTACCCGTGGTTCGTACCTTCTGAGCCACGGTATTCCAAGGATGACATCAAATTTGTCATCCAAATCCAATACGATAACATCATCGTCATATTGGGTATCTTCTAGCGTATAGTGGATATTCACTATACGCTTCATGACGGTTACGGATGCGCCTGTCGCAAGACGTACCGTCATCCTCGTAGGAGGTGTGTCACATTCACTGAACTTAAAGTGACCATCTTCTAGCGATTGGCGTTGCACAAAATCGTTGGACGCCTTACAATCGACTAGAGCTCGAAGGGACAACTTATTCGTCACTTCGAGTTTCAAGGTAATGAGTGAGATCTCATTACCTAGAGCATCAACGCACAACGTTTATGTGTTGGGAGCAACCTTCGTCAAGAGGCCTACAAATTCTCTTGACGTTGCTAGACCAGTAGGGTGCTCCGCACCTACTGATCCTGTCCGTTTTTTTGACGGTCCATCCCGTTGTTGCGTCTTTGCACCAACAGCGGACCCTCGTCCCTGCCCCTTTCTCATGGGTGGACGGTCACTACGCCCAGTGTCGCGAGACACTGGACGACGGGCACTACACTCGTAAGCGTAGTGTCCTGTCTTCTGACATCTGTTGCATTTCTGCAACTTCTTGTAGTCTGTAGAGCGAGCCTTCTCGCTCTCTACATAACAAAGTTCCATCGGCTCTGGACCTCCACTGTCACATCGTCTCGGTTGACGATACGATGTCGAGCTGGCGCGAGCCTGTCTCAGACTGAAGTCTTCCTGTTCCGCAATGGAAATGGCTTGTTCTAGTAAATCTAGTTCAAGCCGGAACAGGTGAGTCTTGACGGGACCATCCGCAAGACCCTGCATGAACACCGAAACCAACGTGTGTTCATCCACCAAATTAGAACTTATACAACTCGTGAGATGTCGTATATGTTGAGCGTAAGCGTGCACATCACGCTTACCCTGCTTGAGCTTCAAGAGTTCGGTTCGAGCCCTGAAGTCAGCTCTAGGCGGTTCAAACGTTTGTCTGAGCCGCGACTTGAAGACTTCCAACGACCCAAACGCATATGGGTCGTGCAGCTTGAGCCCCAGTGCCCAAGTCTTGGCACGTCCTGCCAGATTTGACTGGGCAAATGCAACTTGCATATTCCCGTCGTCGATGCGACGCGCCCTTATGGCGTCATCCAATTCGACGAACCATCTCAAGAGGGAGTCTTCTTCGACCCCCCTATACTTGGAGATGTCAATCTTCAAAGTCTCGGGTCGACGCGAGTGCATCGACCCGCCAGCAGCAGCCTGCTG